TGGACAGCATGACTCCTGTTAGATAGCCCTAAATACTGTAGCTCTTAGCCCAGTGCAACTTTTTGCAAGTGAAAGCGATGCGTCCTTCACAAGGTGAAAGGGCAGTGGGAACATGTATGCAGATGTGTTTGACGATGCGGGCTTTCAATAAAGCCTTTCCACATTTGGAGAGATCCCTTGCATCACCATTCAGATGACTGATACTTCACTTGTGATAACTTTGGAGGCTGTGGGCTTTGTATCCAATTCTGTAAATTAAGAGAGACATGGCGCTACTGGAGAGAGTCCAGCGGAGGGCTACAAAGATGATGAGGGGACCGGAGCATCTCTCCTCTGAAGAAAGACTGCGAGAGCTGGGCCTGTTCAGCCTGGACAAGGCAAGACTGAGAGGCGATCTCATCAACCGTGTACAAGTATCTGAAGGGGGAGTGTCAAGAGGATGAGGCCAGCCTCTTCTCCGTGGTGCCCAGCAACAGGACAAGAGGCAGCGGGCAGAAACTGAACCACAGGAATTTCCATCTGAACCTGAGGAAAAACTTCTTGACTGTGAGGGTGACTGAGCATTGGAACAGGTTGCCCAGAGAGGTAGTGGAGTCTCCTTCCCTGGAGATATTCAAAACTCGCCTGGACACGATCCTGGGCAATATGCTCTAGAGGTCCCTGCTTGAGCAGGGAGGTTGGACTAGGTGATCTCCAGAGGTCCCTTCCAACCTAAACCATTCTGTGATTCTGTGATTCTGTGAAATTAGTAAAAGGTATTTCCTGGATGAAGCTATAAAGAAAAATCAATACCTTTCCTAAAAATTAGCAGGAAACAAAGTTTGAATACAGATAGTACCTTTCATATGAAGATTTCAGACTTTATAAATATCAAGAACTTATATCTTAGTCTACTACTGGGGAGATGGGGAAGAAAGCAGAGAGAGAACTGAAAGATTCAAATACAGCAAAGGCCACTACAGTGAATTTTTTTAAAAGTCCATTTATCTGATTAATGAACAGGACCACAGTCTTGCAGTCCTCTTGCATGTGGGCAGATGTTTACTTCCTAAAAAGACACAATAACACAGAAGGGCTTTACAACAGAGATTTACTCACACCGAACAGCTTGCAAGACATGGAACCGTCCCAGGAATTTGCTCTTTATCCTACAAACCTTTATTAATATGAAAAATGCTAAAATAATATCGAAAGACAGTGATACTGCAGAAATGTCTGGTTTTCTTCCTGCCAGTCACTGCTTTAATCAGAAAGGTATGAGCCAGTGGTGGTAAAGCAAAGAAAGACATGGCAACTATTATTTAAGGCTGATAAAATAATCAAAGGTCTAAAGAGAATATTTTGGGGAAAAAGTAAAGACCTTGATCCTGCAAAAATATGTATGATTAACATTAGTAACTTGAGCACTGACTTCAAAAGGGGATAGTGTTGTCCTGGGAATCTGACTTACTCTGCTCATATCTTTTGAGACAGGTTGAAAACATGAGGAAGCTGATAAAACTGCAAGCTGAAAGACTTCTTTAGTATCTGAGAATTACCTTTCTTCCACGCTTCTCTTCATACCTGCAAGGGGTGCTTCTCAACCCGGATGCATTTAACTTCCTCCTTGTAAACAGCCTAATCTTCCTGAAAAGGCTAATACATTTCACCAACTCTTGCACAGAGTTAGATCACTTAAAAAATCTCATGCTTCCCATAAAACACTGCTATCTTTGTTGTAATTACAAACTTAACGCAAAGTTTTCCTTCAACTTTTTTTTATTTGCTTGTTTCTGTATATATTATCTACATTGATGCAGGGCACATCTTGTACACTGTAGCAAACAATAAAAAGTAGAACAATTATTTTTCAGACTGAGTTTTCAGTCTGAAAACTGAAAGTTTCTGAGGCACAATATTAATATATTTCACTAAGTTCTGCTCTAGTGATCTAGATGCTATAGCTTTCTGATCTGGACTTAAGAAGCTCTATGTAGATAACCTTCCTGTGTCTAATCACACATGGAGGTTGTGAAAAAGCTCTTCCTTCATTTGCAGCTTGGTGTCTCATATATCCATTTTGGACTTTGTAATATGCTTCTCCTGATTGCTTTTTCTTATGCTTCTGCTTGCTGTTGTAAATGGCCAAATAGACACAAACTCGGCATGATTATAATTAATCCCCATTCTATCAAAGAGGTGTAAATCAGCTTTGCCAAGAGTGTAAGAAACTAAGGGAAGGATAGAGCATATATTCAGCTGACTCAGACCTGAAGGGACATCAAGGTGAAAGGACAGGTCTGAGTGAGAAAATCCTGATGAGAGAGTACTGTGGTGAGGCATCTCTGTCCGACGCTGGTGGCTAGAGGAACCAAAAGAGGGTTTTACCCTCCAGTATATTGCAGCTAGTGAAAGACCTTTATCTCATTGGCTGCTAATGCATGGAGCAGGAGACCAAAAGGCAGATGCCTGCTGGTGGCAAGAAGGGAATAATGTGATGTAGAGGACTGTGGTGGGAGGAAAGGGGACTTTCTCCCATTGAACTTGGCAGTCTGAGGAAGCTGTGGGAGGAGCTATACAGGATACTTCAAACCCCACTGCCTTGGCTTCCTGATGCCTTGTATGCACAAGTGGACTCACCTCTGCAGTGATGTGAGCTGTAGGCAGATCTCCAGAAAACATCACAGCTGAGCTGAGTTTATTATACAGTTGGATCCACACTGTGTAGCTTAAATATGTTCAGATCCAGCCTGGCCTCTGTGTACCACAACTGGGACAGGAAATATTTCAGGACAGATGTGGCCAGAACAGAACAGAGAAATGCAGAACAGAACAGAGGAATGTATTTGATATCAAGGCAATCAAGGTTATACTTGCTATACTTGAGTATAGCAATTCAGGTTATACTTCCAATGGATTTTTAAATGACAGTATTTTCAAAGAAAAGATACTGTGCAGAAAAAAGTGACATTTTCATAAGTAGACTCATGACCAGTTTTAGATTTTCCAAAGTTAAATACTGCATAATCAGTTGAACAAAATAATATCTCCTCTAATATTAGTGATTTAATTACTTTTGTTGCCAGTCTGTAACTATCGCTCTGGGATTTTGTTAACCTGAGTGCAGCAAGGAAGAGAAAGATGAGCAGTTGGCTACAAACCTGACAGATATGGTGGTGGATGCACAGGAATTATTATCTCCCTCTCCACTTCTGGGAGATGGAGTTCTGAGAGCCCCAGGGTGGGAAGTCTGTGCTATCCTGGTGGGCTGACTGCTTCAAATTAGCGTAAAGGATTACAGATGTCAAGTAGCTATTGTCATATACAGTATTTTCTCCCTCAAGGTAGGCTCATGTCAATGAGGACAATCTGCACCTAAAAATGTTCTGACCACTGGAGGCCCTTCATTGGCAGTGTTTCAAGTTTTGAGTTCTCCTACTGTATGATCTCTTCTGACCTTCATACAAACATGGTTCATTTTTATATACTACCCTACCGCATCTGAAAACTGGCTCTGCCTCTCGGAGCTCTTCTTTCTCTGGCCTGCATTCAGAGGTCCACCACTGAAGTATGAAAGATCTTTTCAGAACCGCTGCAAGGAAAATTTCTATGCACTACCGTAGCTCTTCCCACTCTGCCAGATTTTTTTTAAAACCTTACAAAATCCTCAGCATTTCTGATGCATAGTATAGCTTTGCAGTTCATGTAAGAGATGTAGGTGTCACCGCACTCAGAGGGCCATTAGCAGACCTGCAGCAAAGCAGCTGCTACGTGGGCACCCGTGCAGATCGCAGGAGCCCACTCACGCTTGAAGGAGGGGGACCCGCGTCTTCTGCCCCAGCTGTGGCCACAGCGCTGCCCCGGCCCCTTGCATTTCTGATGCATAGTATAGCTTTGCAGTTCATGTAAGAGATGTAGGTGTCACCGCACTCAGAGGGCCATTAGCAGACCTGCAGCAAAGCAGCTGCTACGTGGGCACCCGTGCAGATCGCAGGAGCCCACTCACGCTTGAAGGAGGGGGACCCGCGTCTTCTGCCCCAGCTGTGGCCACAGCGCTGCCCCGGCCCCTTGCTGCCCTCGGCAGCCCCAACACCTCCCTGGCTCCCATGGGGCGCTGCGGCTGGCGTGGCGCGCAGCGCTGGGGTGAGCAGCGGCAGGGTGTGGGGGCGGCGTGGCAGAGGAGGGCACAAGCTGCCCGAGCCGCACACTGGCGCGGCG